AAAACAGTGATGTAAATGATGTTCCCCCTAATATGGCAATTGCAATATCAGTCAAAATAATAGCAATTGCAAAATCGTTCAGCCCTAGTGATACATTTCCTGGAGAGGAAAAACAAAAAACAAACACACAATCAAGAACCTGATGAATACAGACTAATGGTCTGACTTTGATTTTGACTTGCTCACAGTCAGACGGGACGGTGGCCAGCAGGGACACACTTTCAGAGACTACCGTTTAATAAATGTCCAATGAAGCCGAATTTGTGTTCATTAAGGCACAGAAGTAATTCCCATGTGTAAGCAGCCCTTTTAAGGTTTATTAGCCTTGGGTTGGAATTAGTACAAACCCTTCAAATGTTTGTTGTGATGATATGAATATGGCGTTAGACTGGTTTTCCAGATGCATTACATTCAGACCATGGTTCGACACAGTGCTTTTCTCTCAGGGCCACACACGGTGACCACCACCACAGTGTTGGACATAAACACTATCCCACTTACGTTCCTGAAGCTGACGTCACCGTTGGGTCGGCAACATGACAGACACGGACCACTAGCCTGTCGTCAAGAGGGTGACGAGCAATTAATAACATTCAGAGCTCAACAACACTTAATCGGCATGCAAACAGCAGCTAGTGAAACCTAGCCTTAAGCTTGATTTATACTCCTGCGTAGGGTCTTACATGCGTAGCTACGCCGTAGGCTACACACTTAGCCAGGCATTTGTGCACAATTGTGTTGACTTTTACCGTCCGAGCAGGCTAACTTCCGGTTTGGCCCTCAGCTAACGTGAATGGGGGTAAAATTGTAAACGAGCGGCTGGTGTAGCCTTTTCAAATGTTATCGACCGAATGGATCACATTCTGATAGTGAAACGAGTCATTTCTCTCGGGTTGTGACAGTCAAATATATTGACCCACTGTGTTATAGCCGCTTATAAAAGTTACTTCAAAGTACGGGCACTTCCTGTCGGCTCGGCGGCACTGCAAGGCTTCACAGCCGACCAATCACAGAGCTTCCGTTCCGCGTCGACTCGAAGTGTAGTTACATTTTTGAGGAAGCACATGTCAGGCTAAGCCATAGGTGACGGCGCAGGGTAGGGGGCTACGCCGTCGATTTGACGCAGAAGTAGAAATTGCACTTTAGCCCGTCTTTCTCACTCTCAGATCTAAACTCAAACCTGGAAGGTTTATGAGGAGAACATATTTGTCAATATGTAGATACTAAATTTTAAAACCTTTTTATGGTGTGGTGTGCAGGTACCCCACTTGCCTGAGTCCAGACCTTTGAATCCGTCAGCATTTCAGCTGACGACTAACAGTTAGCCAATCAAGGAATGCCTAATATGCTGTTCTGTGTGCTGTGTGCAGGAACCAAGGAGTAGTGATTAATAGGCGAAACGCCTAGATCGCAATAAATCATAGTCAGTCATTTCAGAGTGCGATGGGCTTGTTTTATATTTTTCATTGCTTACTCCTATCCAATCTACCAGCGCCTGACCGTTGCTACTGCGCATGTGGAATGCACCATAACACATCCATGTTCGAGCCATTTTCTTTACAGTGTCATGAGTACATTGGTTTGTGCATAGCAGTGGTTTCAGTATTAACAAATGGAAAATAACAAATTATTTGAAAAGTTTCAGTCTGGTTTTAGGAAGTACCACAGCACTGAGACTGCCCTGCTTAAAGTCACCAATGACCTTTTAATGTCTGCTGATGAAGGTATGTGCTCAGTCCTTGTACTCCTGGACCTTAGCGCTGCTTTTGACACCATTGATCACAACATCATGTTAGACAGACTGAGGCACTGGGTGGGGATCTCTGGTACTGCTCTAGAATGGTTTTCATCCTACCTGTCAAATAGGAAGTTTTGCGTGTCTGTAAACAACTATGTCTCTTCATTCTGTCCAGTTAAATATGGTGTGCCTCAGGGGTCGGTCTTAGGACCCATTTTGTTTTCCTTGTATCTGCTTCCCCTTGGACATATTATCCATAAACATGGTATTTCTTTTCATATTTATGCTGATGACACACAAATGTACTTGCCCGTCAGATCCACAGACCCTGGAATGCTGAGTTCACTTAACAACTGCCTTTGTGAAAAAATGGATGTCAAATAATTTCCTCCAGCTGAACTCAGACAAAACATAAATCCTGGTCATCGGGTCTCAGCAGATGGCAAATCAAATACTGCCATCTGCTGGTTCCCTAGTAAAATCACATTAAGCCTGTGGCAAAGAACCTTGGTGTTTGGTTTGATAGTAATTTAAATTTCGAGCAGCACACCACAAATCTTGTTCAATCATGTTTTTATCAACTTAGAAATATAGCTAAAATTCGATCTATGTTAACTTTTAAGGACACCGAGACCATTTTACACGCCTTCATCTCATCACGCCTGGATTATTGCAACAGCCTTTTCACCTGTTTAACCCAAAAATCTATTGATCGACTCCAGACTGTCCAGAACTCAGCTGCCAGGCTTTTAACCAGAACAAAGAAATATGACCACATTACTCCTATTTTAGCTTCACTACACTGGCTCCCAGTATGTTTTAGAATTGACTTTAAAATTCTATTGATCACTTTTAAAGCTCTTCATGGCCTCTCGCCTTGTTATATTTCTGACCTTTTAGTCCCATACACACCAGCACGTACCTTGAGGTCCTCGGGCAGAGGTCTGTTGTCTGTTCCAGAGTCTCGACTGAAAACTAAAGGGGACAGAGCGTTTGCTGTCAGGGCCCCGAGGCTCTGGAACAGCCTGCCCGAGGAAATCAGGTCGGCTGAGTCAGTGAACTCTTTTAAGTCCCTTCTTAAAACATACTTTTATAGGAGAGCCTTTCCCGATCTTATTTGACTTTATTTTATCCCTTTTATTTTATTGTATTTTACTATTTTTATATTAAATTTTCATGCTCTTATCTTTTTTTGTATTATTCTTTACACTTGTTAAAGCACTTTGTAACTTGTTTTTGAAAAGTGCTCTACAAATAAGATTATTATTATTATTATTATTATTATAACAAATGCAACACCGAAGCAGGTGTTCTAACACCATGACCCAGTCAGAGGAGACTCAAAGTTACTGTGATATTAGGAAACTCAGACATCCACTTTAGAGCCCGCTGCCAAGTACATCCACTGTGTTTTTAGGAAAACAAACCCAGAACACAAATCAATACGCAAACATTAAAGTAGCCTGGCAATTTTATTACTAACACAGTAGCAAATATATATATATGCAATGTAAATGTTTCATTATTTTGTGGTGTTTCGAGAAAATTACAGCAAATGGAAAATGTTGGTAGGTTCATTTTAAGAGACAGCAGGAGACTTTGTGTCAATAATTAAATCCAACAGCTTCATCTAATAAGTTTTAGCTTTGAGCCCGATTCTGAATGCTGACCACTCTTACCTATAACCCACATGACTTACATTAGTGATGTCGATAAAAGCAGTCCTCTTCTTGGGTGCCCCGTGAGGAGGGGAGGAGGACCTCTTCACCTGCGGACCTTCCTCCTGCAGCACAAAAACAGGAAACTGAAAACACACTTACAAATCACGTGCATGCACGGACTGCAAAGAGAAAAGATGCTGTTTTGCACTCATTTTAATCGTTGCCTTCCAAACCAACATGAATGCATGTTTCTTTTACCTGGTTCTCAGTCGTTGTTGCATTTAGCTTGGGTAATGTTATCTTGCTCCCAGCAGAGACTGTGGCTTTCTTTCCCCTCGGTACGGGCATGGCTGTCTCCTTTATCCCCCGAAAACAAACTCTGCAGCGGCTGCACTGTGATCTGCTTTGCAAAGAAAAATACACACAAAAAATGGCGGGTCCTTTTTAAAATACAAAACAGGCTTGCGTGTTCCTGTGGTGTTATATAGAAAAGATAATTAGTTTTACCAAGCAGCAGATGACAAGATCATAAAACCGAGCAGCCATGTAACGTTATGCAGCTTTGCTGGGTGGAGTTTCTACACTAAGACTAAACTGCTCTGGATTCAAAATATCAAGCTAACAGACGCTTAAATTATTGTTTTTTTCCTACCCTGTTTTATTATTCCTCCTCGTTTGGTTCAGTCGCTTGTTTTAGGGACGATGCAGCTTATTTAGCGGTTGTAAATAGTCCAGGTTTGCGCTGTTGCTTCTCAGACAGGAGCTCAAACAAAAGTGTTTCAGCTGCAGATCCAAATCTGCGGCGCCGCGCTGTCATTGGCTGGAATTTGAGCCGGGCGGACCAATCAGGAAGCTGCAAGGAATGCCGTTGCTAAGAAGCGATGGTTTTATAGTAACGGCACCGCCCGGAGATTATTGATTATTTAAAGCAGAAAGTTAAACATAACTGATTATATATGAAAAAAGGGAATTTGTTAATTTTTATGTTGTATGTTATGTTATTGAGTAAGTGTGTTATTTAGTTAAGCTAAATCTATTCAAGTGACTTTATAAATAGCATGCGCGCGGCTCGCTGTTTTGGATTTAAATGCAACGAACCCTGGAGGAGGAGAAGGCAGGATTTTCAAACATCACGGAAGCAGTTTAAACGTTGGACATTTTATTGATGTTTCGCTCAGACAGACTTGGCAAATATACATTATGCAGTGCTCTATCAAGTCCATCATGAATTCGTTCTCTATTATTTTTTATTCATACCCGATATGTACATGTTTACATTTGTTTCTATGTTTCTATTACTATTTATCTATATTACAATTCAATAACGTTATGTAGCCTGTGTGTGTGTGTGTGTGTGTGTGATAAAACCTCATCTTAAACAGATAGGCTACCTACAAGATCTGCACACATACAAATACATGCACTTAGAGTCACTTCTGATTTTCATTATATAGCCTAATTCAAAATAAACCATTAAATATCCAATGTTCATGTTAATCTGCAAAATAACTGAAATCATGGCATCTGAATTTGAAAATGTGGTGTTTTAATATTTATATATATTTATTAATTTAGCTGGCGCTTTTATCCAAAGTGACTTACAATTGCTAAATATCAGAGGCTGCAGGCTTCTGGAACAAGTACGAGTTAAGTGTCTTGCTCAGGGATACAGTGGTGGAACAGTTATCTCTGAGCGCTTTTCATAAAAGAGCAGGTCTAGACCGTACTCTGTGATGTTATTTACAGAAACCCAACAGTTCCCACCAAGAGCAAGCACTAGGCGACAGAGGCAAGGAAAAACTTCCTTTTAAGAGGCAAAAACCTCGAGCAGAACCATGGCTCAGGTTGGGCGGTCATCTGCCTCGACTGGTTGGGGGAGAGAGAGAGAGAGAGAAAGAGGGAGGGGGATGGAAGGAGAGAGAGAGGGGAGGGAGGCAGCCTACACAATATACACACACAGAGGTACACACAGTAAAGGTGATGTTGCTATACAGATATTTACAGTAGTGTTAATGATAATAATTGTAATGTTAATGATTATAATTACAATAATAACAATAGGACTAGTAAGAATAGTTGTAACAGAGGGTGTCGAGCAGGAACACGGGGGCAGCAGATGACTCGCAACCACAGATCCAGACTCCACCATAGAAATCCATCTATGGACTCCACAGCTCCAGAGCCAGAAACACCTGCAGGAAGTGATAAGAGGAGAAAGGAGAGGGACGAGAAAGCACAAGACTACTGGAAAGGGGAGAAGTTGAGTTAGTAACATGCATTAATGGGTGCATTAATGGGATGAGGTTGCATAGAGAGGCAGAGAAAGAAGAGGAGAGATGAGCTCAGTGCATCATAGGAAATCCCCCGGCAGTCTAGGCCTATAGCAGCATAACTAAGGGATGGTTCAGGACTCACCTGAGCCAGCCCTAACTATAAGCTTTATCAAAGAGGAAAGTCTTAAGCCTACTCTTAAATGTGGAGATGGTGTCTGCCTCCTGAACCCAAACTAGAACCTGGTTCCACAGGAGAGGAGCTTGATAGCTGAACGCTCTGGCTCCTATTCTACTTTTGGAGACTCACAGTGGGAACTGCACCCCAGGTTTCCCACAACAAAGGCATGTGTCTTATCCACTGCACCATCGCCTCTGTTTTAAAGCTTCAGATAGAGGATATTGATCAATAATGACAACTGAGCAAATTCCATCCACCAGTGAAGACCATGAGATGTGGCTGAAAGCTCCTAGTTGGGAATATTTGTCAAAGCAGTCATTAAGTTTTTAAGATTTCTGTTTCAGTTCATGGCCTCATTTGCCGATTTGCTTCTATATGTTTGCCTCCATTGAGAATCTTTAAAATACAGAATCAAAGAAGTAAGAAGGTGTCCCATTTTAATTAGCACTTTTAGCTTGAGAGAAACTGTTTTATAGTAAAAAAATTATAACAATACATTTGTATATAGAGCAATCTAAAACCAGGAAAGACTCTCCTATAAAACTACATTTTAAGTGTGCAGAGCCTCAGGGCCTTGACTGCAAATGCCCTGTCCCCTTTAGTTTTAAGTCGGGCCTCTGGAACAGACAACAGACCACTGCCTGAAGATCTCAGATTCCCACCACTGCCTTTAGGCAGTCACTAACATTAAAATCTATTTAAATTATCATTTCGAGCAATGAGCTCACCGTCACACAGATAAGTATTTCCTGAACTGGAGCACAGAGGGCCTCCTGGGACCCACAACACAGACTTACTGCAGTTACAGTTTGGACAATACAGGGTCATAAAAATCCCATTTGTGCCCCTGGAGGGCAGGTTCAGGGTGGACAGCAGGCGAAGCTGGCAGCTAACATCCATCCAGCTGCCATTAGTTTGGGAGGGTCATTCTTGTCTGAATAACAGGAATTGAGGCCTTAAAGTGTATCTCAGTGTTGCTAAGAGAACAAAATAAATCTTAGATGAATCCATTTTAATCCTCTTCTGAATTGATGTCATCTCTGAATACACCCTTTACACACACTACTAAATCACTTTGTAAATATAAAACTCCAATACGAACAAACATCTCTTGGTTTTTGTTTCACCTCCATGCAAAGCAAAAACATGAACAGGTTCAACAAAAAGTCCCTGGGCCCGCTCCATTTAAACATTCACCCCACGTTTACTTTATTTGAATAGGATACTCTGACGCAGCTTCAAGGCCTACAGTTCACGCAGTGCAATCTGGCATTTAATGAAGTCCACAGAGAGATTTGATCTCTTATCTTATTTCATCTCCCCTCCCCGTTGTCCTCATTCAAGACAATAGCCTTCTTGTGAGATCATTTTTTTATCCAGACTGCTTGTGTCTCCATCAGAGCTGGGAGAAATTGTTTCATAATTGTTATGATTTAGTTGACACTGCTAAAAAATCTACAGGGTGGGTGGGACTACCCGTAAGTTTTTATTATTTGAAACAGGATATTCACATTAAGAAAGACAATGTGCGCATTCACACATGAGGTACAACAGCATAACGTCATTGATTAGTTGAATCTCCCAACACTCCGACGATATCGGTCAGGATGAACTGACAACAGCCTCTCTAATCATGAAAGTAATTCGTTAAAGCACAAACATCAGTGGTGCTACTGTCTTGTTAAGAGAAGAGAGCTCCCCCGTAGTTTGCACCCTGACTACAATCTCGACCATTGGATTCTCGCAACAGGAAATAATGTTACTCTTCAACTCATCGATTTGTTTTTCTGGTGCCAAAATGTTTTTCAGTGTTGGTGAATTATTAAAAAAACAAAACACCACTTAATTTCGGGTTAAAATGCGTTGAGATTGTAACTGGTATAATATTACTGATTTTTTTTTTAGTAATGCGTTATATTACTGCGTTACAGCAAAAAACAAGACATTACTGTAATTGCATTACTTTTGTATCTCGTTACTCCCAACACTGTATATTTGTATACTGTTCTGGGTACTTATTTATGTCCCGTGTACACTTGCAATAAAGATTTAAGGAGGGAAAAAACAATTATTATTCTGACATCACATGATGTCTGAATAATGGAGAAGCTACTGTGGTCGACACACTCTGTCAGCTCTTGTGCTAAATAATACATGTGATATCCGCATTCAGCGTAGTGACGAAACGCGCTCTGTAGAGCCGTTTTCCCGTTTGAGCTACTGTTGAAACATGGTAGTGCAACATGGCGACATCCATATTTGTGGACCTGCAGTGTACGTAGATAGAAATGGCTCATTATAAGGTAATAAAAACATAACAGTTCATAAGGTCTTTATACACCGCTGAAAACATTGTTGGATGGATATTATATTGTGTTTCTGTCAATAGATCTTCCCAAATATTACACACTGAACGTACAAATTTGAGGTAATTGTATTGTCCTTCAGTATTTTCTTTTCTTTCTTTTCTTGTCACTTTATACGTAATTTAAGAGGGGAAACTTTACTTCATTACAGTAACTTGAGAGTTTTAGTTATATATTATATTATATTTAGTTACATATTAAAGATATAAAGTCTTATTATAGCTAAATTAGCTAATAATTACCCAGCAGTAAATAGAAGAAGAGCTGAAACGATTAGTCGATTTATCAATTAGTCAAAGTAATTTTTCATGCTAAAAAATTTCCTGGATTCAACTTGTGAAGATTTGCCAGATTTTCTATAAATTACTTCAGTTATATGAATGTGTTTTTTATGATTTTAAGGGGCCTACTATTTGTCACTATTTTATGAATTTTTACAAACGAAACTATCAAGTAACAATAACCTAAGTCATAGGGGACGTTTTACTGTTTTAAGTGCTTTCACTTTTAATACTTAGTAAATTTACTTATAGCGGAGTATTTTTACAGTGTGGTATGAATACTTCTTCCACCACTGAAATTGGCTGTAGTGCACCAACCTGAAGTAAAATCATAAAAGCACTGTATCCTATTTAAATTAAATTTTGGCTAAGGTTCTGGTCTAAATCTGAGACGCTTGCCTCCTCCTCCTTCCCGGCCATGAATCTCCTCCTGTTCTTCCTCTCTTCATCATTTTGACCTCTTGAACAAAGGAAAAGAATATAACAGGCAGAATGATTTCCTATTAACCTAAAGCCTGTTTACATAATGTATATTTGTCATTTGCTGATGATGTCAATGAAAAAACAATCACACACCCACATACAGTTTCTCTTTCTATCTCGCTCCCTCACACACACTTACACAGGAAGTGAGTGAAGCTTGTGAACTCATTTGTCAAACCATTTCCGTGTAAACTCATTCGCAGCAGAGAGACCTAAGAGAGCCAACCATCCCCCCTTTTACTTAACTGGTAAGCATGTGCTGCCTGATGTTTTCTGTATCTTGTTATTATATTTTGTACATAACTTACATAACTTCTGGCTTCCATTTTTACTGAACTGGCCCTCTAGATTCCTTCTGTTTCTTGCCAGGTATCACAGTAAATCAGAATTTGATCTGCAATACTTCATAAATCTTATTTTGGTCAGGAAACCTTTTTCCTTCTCTTATTTTCTTAAATCTCCTGTCCAGTTTGTCTTGGGCTAACCATATGGAAAACAGCATTTTTTTGGTACAAAAGTGGATTCTAAAACCCTAAATACTCCCCTTGACAAGGCTGCCAATTTAGATTTGTCACATTTCATTAAAAACACTATAGGGGTGGAAGAAACACAGTTTGAATGAAAGGTCAACTGAGGCACTGCATTTCAAAACATTATTTCGCAACGCGCTGAATAGCATTTAGCAATAGCATTTGTGCTGTGAGCACCATGTAGATGTTAGAAGAGACTGTAGGTGAGGTGTGTTAGTATGATCAACAGACTTTGTTTAGGCAGGGTTGTGTGACACAAGAACACCCAGGATTAAAGTAGTGAGGAAGCATCCCCATCTCATAAACATTAGGATGTCGAGCTGCCAAGAGAAATCATTTTTTGTTTTAGCTGTAATTTGTTCCACATCTGAGCTTCATTCTCTATCTTGTCCTCCTCTCTGGGGTCTGTCCATTTTGAATTCGGTCTGTGGTCCACCGAGTGAGTAATGGCTGGATAATACTGTGACACAAGTTCATCTCATGCACACCAAGAGACTACAATCATTTGGTAACGCAACCTCCGGTGTTATCATTCGCTTTGGCTGAATAAAGAGAGCATGGCGTGTGTTACATCTAAATGTTTAACATTTTTGTTAAATTTATATCACATTTCCATCAAATTAGTCATTTTACAGAGGTGATAATAGAAGTACAATACTTGTAGTAGAACCAAAGAATAAGTTGAGGAAGTTCAGTTTCACATTACACGCTGTTTCATCTGCTTCTTTTCTCAGTCAGAAAGATTCCTAAAATACAACCTACTCAGCAACTGTGATATAAGCAAGGTACAGTTTCAAAGAGTGAAAATATATATTTTAAGAAGTTTAGCATATTTGACGAAAATAATGCATTTAGTCTGCTGGCTAGACAAAGTTTCACAACATGGCAACCCTCAGGACTAAAAAAGACGATATACTTTCTAAGGTAAGTTCAGTTCTTTCACTTAAATAGGACCTATAAACATGCATGAATATATGGCGAGATGTCAAAGCGAGCTTCCACATAGTCTGGCATCCAGAACCATTAAAGGTTTGGTGTCTTGGTCAAGGGCACGTGCCTAGAAGCTGAACTGGCACTTCTTCAGCAACCAGTCCACACTCCATACTGACTGGTTCGTGCTTGACTTGAAAAAAACAACAAGGCAAGTCCACACCTACAGCCTATGGTCTCCGTAGACTGAGCTACTGTTGTTAGCAAGCACTAACTGCAATTATATTATCGAACTTCTGCTTTCTAATCTAGTAAATAAAACAATCAGAGCATTAAAGTAACAACCAATTATCTCGTCTCATCAAATGTAGCCTAAATACACCACAACATGGCATTTTTACACTTCAGTTGTTTGACTTGCATCTACCAAACTGTATACCAAAAATATCCTATTTGGAAAACACAGCTTTCAAGAAAACTACAGCAAAATTGTCAGACAGTCTGGACTTTTTTCATAAGACTGACCACAATAGCAGTTTACAGAAAACGTGTCTGTCAAACGTTTATCAATTGTCCTAAAATGGATACAGGTGCCGCATTTCATGTATGCATCAGAGATCAACAGCATAATACTTTTCATGTAACATTTGCTTTGCTTCATTGCTGTTTTCTCAACTTGAAGTTACAGCTATCAAACAAAGCCCTCTCTCCATTAACTACAGATGTACACAAACCAAGTTTACAGAAATGTCAAGTTGCTGCTGCGGACGCCAGCGCAGTTTTTTTTTAAATGCTAATCTAATACTGAACTGAACTTCCTGCTTGTCACATCCTGGCTGGCTGACAGCTCATATGGTGACAGGCTGTGGTCGAGGCCTCAATCTTATTTTCCATCAGAGGCTTCGGAGGGGACTTTCTGTTCTCTCTAACCCTGTATTTTCTTCCCTCCTTTTTTATGAGCATTGATCGCTTTCTCTTTTGCTGTTAATGCAGGCAGTATTACATTCTTTCAAGTTGTAGCTTATCTATTTCTTCTCTAATCTGAAGCAGGGATGTAGAAATATTTGTAGAGACTAAAAGGGAAATGCTGCACCATTTAGGCGAAATATTTATGTCCTGGTCGGCATAAACCGAACATGTTGGTTCTAATAAAAATACAAAAATTTAACTAATTACAGGAATGAGGCAGTGGTTCCAACCATCTTTGGACTCTTTTCTGTTCTTGTGCCTGGCTTTAACCATATTCTCCCACCAAAAAAATAGGCTCCAGGAAAAACAACATTTCCTTTACTTTTACTAAAATTATTACTTTTATCCTCCAGGATCCGATGCAGGCACTAAGTGCAGATCTAAGGGTGCCAGAGCCCACTCCAGAAAATGATGGCATTTCTGAAGGCCTCAAGAGAAGCCACCAAAACAATGTGGTTCTTGAGAAGTTTGCCCAAAACATTACAGAGAACATAATCCAGTCGTTTATAAGCCAAATGGAAATGGTGGAACCAGAGGTGGACTGTGTGGTGTCCGGATTTAATCAAAACCAGGAGATGTTGGCTGAAGAGTTAGCCTCAGCAGTGATAGAGGTTGCTCTGAGGGAGGTGTGTAACAGTCAAAACATGGAGGACCATCTGGAGGGTTTCCAGAGTTCAAGACCTTTTATGAATGATTCTGAGAGTGAAATAGACTTTTTGGGCATGGACTCAGAGACGGAGCCAGGCAAAGAAACCCAGACTTCCAAAGACACACAGCCCTGCTACCCACCTCTGTCCCAATCAGGGCTACCTGTCATGGGATCCCTGGACTACCCAGACGCCCCTCCAACCACGCCTCTCCTCCCTGAGCTTGAGAGGAGCAGGAACAGTTTTGCCAGGAAGCTAAAAGGAGGCTTGGCAAAGGTTTTTCTGCCTTCACCGCCTCCGCCAACCCCAAAGGACGAAGACCCCCACTCAGACAGTGCCATTACGGACCCCAGGGTGGAGTTAATGGAGCACCTGATGCACTCACTGCCCACAGATGATTTGGCAAGAGACTCTCTTGAAGTAGGAACTCACCATGGAGACAATATGGAGGCTTTTGCGGAGGCTCTTTCATGCGATATCCTCGACTGGGTCTTGAGTGGCAGAAACAAACAGCAAATACCAGATAGCAATCTTCACCTACTAGCCCACCAACTGGCTGAAACCATCATCACCTCCTCTCTTGATGAAGCTAAAATATCTTTCTAGTGTTTTAATGAGGTACACACACTCGAAAGAACAAAAATATTGAGACCCACCCACACGTTGCCTCCTGCCTGACATTTTCATTAAAGTGTGGTTTACTGCAATAATATTGTTCAAGAATCTGAAGCTAATTTTGTTCTTTTGTTCTAAATTTATTTCTCAATAAAGTTCAGTCAAAGCTCATCCAGATGAAGAGTTCAATTGTGAAATATTTATTGCAACAAAACTGACCAGCGATCCAACAAAAAGATGGCGTGGCACTTTTAATGACACGTAGCTGTATTTTAGATGCTGGAAGATGAACTTGAGGTTGTGGTTTTAGGCCAAGATGAAAAAAGCAGGAAAACTCTAATGGTTTTCAATGCAATTTTGACTGAGATCCAACTGCAGTAACCAAAAATGTCCTTTAGATGGCAACACGGGAGCAATCTGAGTGTTTTAAGCTGTTTACCTGACAAAAATTGATTTAAAATCAGTTTTTCATTTCAGAAGAAAAAGTTTGCTATAAATATTCATGTCAGATTGTTGAAGCTATAATTGTCTTCATGTGTTGTCAATAACTTGTTTTGTCTGTCTTGATTTATCTTTACTGGTCAGGTCTTTTGCTAAATACAATACCTTAATAAAGACTTTGTTTTTGAATGTTAATTACACTTTTCTTTTTCCCTCATGTATTTTAATATCACGGTCAAGAGAAAACCTTTATAAATACAACTATAATATCACAGGATGAAAACAGTAGATGTCTGATGAATTTATATCCCACCACAAATACAGTAAATGATGCACTACACCATATTCAAGGGCATTGAATTTCTTTGGATGTTTCCCCTTGTAATTGGCCTTAACCTCATAGATTCAGTGTGATTCATTCATCCCCTGGACTGAGCTAAATATTGGCATTTGGGGTACATTTGTGTTCTGGCTCAAAGAGAATTCATTTTCATACTCAATCACTTACTGAGGTCAGATCCGGAAGACAAGGGAGCCATGGTGCTTAACCAAATAGTGATGTGATCCTACAGGGGAAAGAAATTGTTTTTCTTTCCTTTCTTTTCTTTAAAAAAAATCGTTGACTTTAAGAGAAGCTTAAGTGCCTTGAAAGAGCAGTTTTGAATACAGAGTTTTATTGTTGCTACTCATCTGTTATTGCACATAAAACACACACTTCTTGGATTGAAGAGAACAGGTTTGCAATCAGAGGCTAATGTTTGCATGTGTGCACAGATCTGCAGACAACACAAAGCACTCCCCTGTCTCTCAGATGAGTGGGAGAGAAAACTAAGCCAGTGGGTGAACACTAATAGGAATGTGTGTTATCACTGACATCTTAATGTGGGCGGGGATCAGGAAGGAGTGTCAGCACAAACTAATCACATAAATGAAGACTCCTTTTAGAATTTGGACGCCGATTTAACATTTAGATGTACTTCTCAGCCACATTAGCTTTAGGCAATCGGTTATTTTTGGAGCTAAATGCAGCAACACGTCACGTATATTTGAGCCACATACACACAAACAGAGCACAATACACACACGTTGAGCTGGCTGCAGTATGCGATAGTCTCTTGGCTCGGATACATGTCATGGAATGCTTAGTCTCAACTTTTGACTCCCACTGCTGTTAAACATTATGTTTTCTCACCACGGGACACCACTCACACGCATACACACAGTCGCACACGCGCACGCAAATAAGCTGAGGGGCTGGGTGGACAGCTGGGGTGTCACAGAGGACACACGCACACACAAACACATCTGGAGAAATGCTTGTGGTGTTGTCAGGTGGTTGGCTGCCAGAAAAAGAGAGGGGCTGATGGAAAAGCGCGATGACACACAGATGATATATAGGAGGGGGGAGTTTATGCATACTATGATAAGAAATAAATGGCAGAGGTAAACCCATCTAAATTCAATGTATCCACCCTTTATGTAAGTGAAACAGTGCTTATTCACCAGATGTAAAAAGCATATCTAAATTAACATCATACATCACCATAAGAAGTGTTTGGGGAGTCAAAATTAATCTTTAAAGGGGCTTTCACTCATCTATGGTGCATAAATATAAACTTAAGGCACATTTGCTTTGACATTTTCCCGCTTTTACTTCATTAATCTGACATATATAGTTACCAGTGCATTAGTTGAAAAAGAATTTCTGTGGAATAACAGGATAATAATAACATATAATGACATATTTCCTAAAATATTGAATACTAAACGCTCTAAACCATGTACTGTAGATATGTACTACACAGTGTGTTATAAATTCTGATATTTAAAACAGGATTATTTGTTTTTTTCTTGGGTGGTGTTTTGACCACCAGTGGGCAGCAAAAAAACTGTAAAACATTGACATATTTTTTATTTACTCATCATTAAACTTGCTAGCAAGCTGTTGGGTATTTACACATCCAGAAGACACATAGCAAAATTATTATCAACTGAAAGTGCTGTTTCTGGCCAGTAGAAATCTACTTTTCATGCTCCTTGTGTCTCTATTTTGGTCTCAACCAGCTCCTAATTCTATTCAATTCAATTCAATTTTAATTATACAGCGCCAAATCACAACAACAGTTATCTCACAGCGCTTTTCATAAAAGAGCAGGTCTAGACCGTACTCTATGATGCTATTTACAGAAGCCCAACAGTTCCCACCAAGAGCAAGCACTAGGCGACAGAGGCAAGGAAAAACTTCCTTTTAGGAGGCAGAAACCTCAAACCATGGCTCAGGGTGGGCGGCCATCTGCCTCGACCGGTTGGGGGTGAAGGAGAGAGAGAGAGAGAGAGAGAGGGAGAGGAACAGAGAGAAAAAGAGAGGGAGGCAGCCTACACAATATACACACAGAGGTACAGACAGTAAAGGTGATGTTGCCATAGACTAAATGAAAAATGGTACAGATATTTATAGTAGTGTTAATGATAACAATCATAATGTTAATGATTATAATAACAATAATAATAATAGGACTAGTAACAATAGTTGTAGCAGAGGGTGTCGAGCAGGAACACGGGGGCAGCAGGTGACTCGCAACCACAGATCCAGAGCCAGAAAACCTGCAGGAAGTGATAGGAGGAGAGAGGAGAGGGACGAGAAAGCACAAGACTACCAGAAAGGGGAGAAGTTGTGTTAGTAACATGTAATAATGAGATGAGGTTGCATACAGAGGGAGAGAAAGTAGAGGAGAGAGGAGCTCAGTGCATCATGGGAAATCCCCTGGCAGTCTAGGCAGCATAACTAAGGGATGGTTCAGGACTCACCTGAGCCAGCCCTAACTATAAGCTTTATCAAAGAGGAAAGTCTTAAGCCTACTCTTAAATGTGGAGATGGTGTCTGCCTCCTGAACCCAAACTGGAACCTGGTTCCACAGGAGAGGAGCTTGATAGCTGAACGCTCTGGCTCCTAGTCTACTTTTGGAGACTCTAGGAACCACAAGTAACCCTGCATTCTGGGAGCGCAGTGCTCTGGTGGGGTAGTAAGGTACTATGAGCTCTTTAAGATAAGATGGTGTCTGACCATTAAGAGCTATGTAGGTAAGAAGAATGATTTTCCTGAGGAAAATATCTGTCTCTTTAGCTGCTAGATGCTTTGCTACGATCACCACCTAGTTGCTAACTTTGTGTGTCTGCTGTTTGCGGCTGGCCTGCTAGCACTACATAATCGTAAGAAGGCTAATTAGAGCAGATTTAAGTCCTTTTGATTTCAAAATACTTTAGAGAGACAGACACACCATGATAGCAAGACATACACTTTCACAATTATCCCTTAGAGGATTTCTTTTGGCAGTTCGTTTCCTCTCTTCACTTCTGATAGCACTTATGATTGCAGCTGATTTTTTAACCAACGGCTCTGGAGATGTTGCAGCATCTGCATCTCAGTGCTGTGTCAGAATTTCACAGCTCAGTCACGTGGATGTGTACTTTTTTATGAAGACACAAAGTCTTATCAGTCCTCGGTTTTCCAAATGAGTTTGATTGACCCCATTGGACAGTTCAGAGAGTTTTGGGGCAGATCAAATATTTGAAAATATTGAACCTACAAAATGTTTAAATCCTTAATAGTATTATGAGTACACGCTCAGAAAAAGAAGTACGGGTGTGTACTTAAAAGGGTACAAATGCTTGTCGCTGGGGAGGTACCCTTGTGAGGAGACAACTGTGTACTCTTTAGTGACAGTACACTTTTGTTTTAAATCACATTGGACCCTTTCTGTAAGTCAAAATGTGCACTTCTGACCTCTTAAAGATCAATACTGTACCTTTGAGAGAACATTCTTCAAAAGTGTACCTGCAAGTACAGAACCGTTCTTGTCTCGTAAGTCCATTTCTGAGTGAGTATTATGATGATTTGATCTCGGAGTAGTGAAGAAACTGGCCAATAACTACAGTAGTGCTGGTTCCAGTGCTTTGACTGTCTGGGAAAGTGGTGTCCGTCATTCAACTTGCATTGAAGTGCCCTTTGGTAAACCAACAAATGTTCTATTGCTGCCTCCAGTTTTAAATGTGAAGGGAGCCAGTTCCAGAAAAGAGGCATGTGAGCTGGATTGCATTTTCCTATATACTAAAATAGCCAGAGAAACTGACCCAGATCTGATACCTATCCATCTTCAGCGTCAGTTTAGGTAGTTACAAGAACAGCATTCCAAGGCTGCTGAGTGCACTTATCAGTCTATAATACGAGGACACCATTGGCTACTGGCTTTAAGTTCATAAATCTGAGTGAAGGGGGATCAGCACACCCACACAGTAGAGCATGCAGGCCTTGTTTTTATCAATCGGGATTTGGACATGTGCAACAAAATCTTTGTTATTATTGTTATTGTTATACACTCACCTAAAGGATTATTAGGAACACCATACTAATACTGTGTTTGACCCCCTTTTCACCCACAGGACTGCCGCATACTGGATGTTTTTCCCTTTTCACACCATTCTTTGTAAACCCTAGAAATGGTTGTGCGTGAAAATCCCAGTAACTGAGCAGATTGTGAAATACTCAGACCGGCCCATCTGGCACCAACAACCATGCCACGCTCAAAATTGCTTAAATCACCTTTCTTTCCCATTCTGACATTCAGGTTGGAGTTCAGGAGATTGTCTTGACCAGGACCACACCCCTAAATGCATTGAAACAACTGCCATGTGATTGGTTGATTATATAATTGTATTATTGAGAAATTGAACAGGTGTTCC